GAAGCTGAGACAAGGTGAGGCTGAATGGGGGGGGAAGGGGGGAGGAGGGGAGGCTGAGGCAGGCTGAGGCCGAGGCAGGCTGAGGCTGAGGCAGGCTGAGGCTGAGGCTGAGGCAAGCCGAGGCAGGCTGAGGCTGAGGCTGAGGCTGGGGCTGAGGCTGAGGCAGGCTGAGGCTGAGGCAGGCTGAGGCAGGCTGAGGCTGAGGCTGACGCAGGCTGAGGCCGAGGCAGGCTGAGGCTGAGGCTGAGGCAGGCTGAGGCTGAGGCCGAGGCAGGCTGAGGCTGAGGCTGAGGCAAGCCGAGGCAGGCTGAGGCTGAGGCTGAAACTGAGGCAGGCTGAGGCATCCGTAGGAATCCATAGGAATCCTTAGGAATCCCTAGGAATCCTTAGGAATCCGTAGGCATCCTTAGGAATCCGTAGGCATAGTTACGCATCCTCAGGAATCCTTAGGAATCCTTAGGATTCCTTAGGAATCCTTAGGAATCCCTAGGAATCCCTAGGAATCATGATTCCTAAGGATTCCTAAGGTTTCCTAAGGATTCCTATGGATTCCTAAGGAAGCCTAAGGATGCCTTAGGAATCCCTCGGAATCCTTGGGATTCCATTGGATCCTAAGGCCGTTGCCACTGCGACTGTCATTGCGAATGCGACTGCGACTGCGAGAACAGCAGAATTCTACAACTGGATTCTCACCTGAATCTTGAGGGGAATGCTTCCAGATATGCTTATACACAACGCTATTAGGTTGCTTTGCCGGGATAATGCTATGGAAAGCGTGACGCTCCCACACCAGACATCAATGGACGTGCTGGAGTCTCAGGGTTGGGTTTCTTGTGGAAGGTTTCTTGTTGACAGTCCCCCACTGTATCGGGGTGCCGCTGGTGGCCTCCTTCCAGGCGGGGTACCCGACCCCGATCCTGAGGGGCTTCCAGAAGACGGGCATCATCCTCCAGGGCGGCTCCGAGGTTGCGACGTTTGCGCTCTCGGAGCGCGACCTGTCCTACTACGACGCGGGAAGGTCCGACAGGTGGTGGGGCGGGGCCAGGACCCGGGTAAATCGTTCCGTTGGCGTTCCTCTCAACGCATTCCTCTCAGAGCGTTCGCGAGCGCTCTGGAGCGTCCGTGGGGGCCGACACATCCTCCAGACCAGCCGGACATCATGGATCCCCGATTTGCCCCAGTCCGACGTTTCCCTGGTCCTGGCTGCGTCTCGCGATTGGCGTCGTGAAGATGGCGTGCGCTATGGCGCCGCCAGCCCGCTTACCACACGCTGTCCTCCACCTTTGAGGACAGCGTGCACCGAAGAAGCCCTGGCACGGGGATGCCGTGCACAGACAGGGCCCTCGCGGGAGGGATCGCCTCCCGGGGACGGCGTGCTCTTCGGGGATCGATCGTGCGGCCACCAGCCTCCCGTCGCCAGCCGCAGGTGGGTGCTGAGCTGCGAGATCACGGCCCACGTGGGCGAGTCGTCTGCGGACCACCGGCAGCACCTGGACCTGGGCGGGGCCATCTCCGAGCACGTGTCGGCCGCGTGCGGGGCGCCCGCGGGCCCGCCGGTGTTTGCCACGGCGGGCGCCCTGCTGCTCCTGCTCGCCGGTCTCGGCGGGGCGGAAGCGGGGCGGGGGTGGCGGCGGCGGGGTCGGGGGGCAGCGCTCGGGGAGGCGCAAGGCTCGGGTGCGCCGGACCTCGGGCTCTGCCCGCGCTGTCTGACGAGCGCGTGCCGGATCGAAGTCAGGAAGGGAAAAAGCACACAGACACAATTCATCGTCGACTCCCAGAAAATATGGGAAAATATGGGAAGTGGGGGGGAGGACAGAGACCCAGAAAATACGGGAAAATATGGGGAATCCTTTTATTTGTGTGTATTTATTTGTGTGTCTCAGGGCCCCTTCACAAATGACGGTCCAGTGTTCGTGGGACGTTTGTAGCGGGAGCTCGCGCCAAAGGTCAGACTGTGCCTCGTCATCTTCATGATGGTCACGCCAGGCCCACCCGAGTCTTCTGTCTCCCCGAAACGAGGGGGGAGGTACCCTCGGCGGCGAAACCCTCGCCCAACCCTCGCCTCGCATCGGTTCAGGGGACTGGATGGTTGGTGGGGGTAGGTTCGGATGTCGCCACCTGAACGGGCGGCGGGGCGATCGAGTCGAGAGCAACGTTAGGGGGGGATACCCAGACTTTGGAACCGTGTTGATTCTCCGACTTACAAGTGTGTCGGACATGCAACCCGAACTTTGTGAACAAGTGGGGCGGACATTTCCGCCTCGGAGAGAGTGGGGTGGATATTCCCGCAAAGCTCTGGCGGAACCCCACTCCGATCAAGTAGGGCGGAAATCGTCATCCAAGGAGGAGGAATGGCAGGGCGGACGTTTCCGCCCTACTTGCGAAATCGCCTTCCGGCGGATCTGAAGTCGGGATAGGGTCAGGGGGGAGGGGGTCACACGGGGACGTTCGAGGTTCGAGGTTTGCGGACGTCTTCGTCGGTTCTCGGCGGCTTGCCAGCCTCGGGATGCCTTCCAGTGGCTCCCTGCGCCTCGCCCAGAGCGCTTTGAGAGTGCCCGGCTGGCCACGGGAGAGCCGAGGTGTGGCCCGACAGCCGAGGGGCACCGACAGGCGGGGTGGGGGACACAGGCGCAGGGGGGGACGCATCAGCTCACACTCGCCCATGGCATCGCCGATGAGGGGTCCGATGGTCCCCCCCCGCCGCCGAACGCGCGGATTCGCTGTCGGGGGCCCATCGCCGGTCTGCGGTCAACCCGCATGGTCGGGACGAACAACTCTCCAAGGTTGCCCTTGCATCCTCCCCCTTTGGCCCATCCTTGGCCGCTTCCACTGGACGCGCCCCGCTCGCAAAGTGTCGACACGGCCTTCCAAGGCCCTTGCGCATCCTCATCGTGCGTCCTTCCTATGCGGGTTGACTCTATCGGCGATGTAGCGCCGACTCCAGCTCGATGTTCCCCCCCTCCCTCTCCAAGCCAGTTCATCCCATAACGTTGCCTTTCATCGAGGAGAGGGGCCAACGGGGGTTTCCGATGTGGCGTGCCTCCCAGGTTTCCCCCCCGCCCCCCCCCCCCCAGTAAGGATATCAGCAGGCCCCTGGAGTTAGGTAGAGGATATTATAAGCTGACAGAGTAGAGTGTTCAGAATGAACTGACAGAGTGACATGCTCCGCGACATCGGGGCTCAAGTCATCCAGAAAAGCATTCATAAGCTAACTCTGGTAGCGGAGCTGGCTTCGGTCAGCTCCACGCCACTCCCGGCCCCGGCGCGCAGCCGCGCGCGATCGCGCCACAAGGCGTTCGACGGCTTTGACTTCTCGAAGCACTGCATGCTGAGCATCAGCACCTTCATCATTGGCGTGGTGTACCACGCCCTAGGCGACCCCGCGAGTTTCCACGGCATCGAGCACGAGAATCAGTACGCGGCGGACCACTGCACTGAGAACCACGACTGTGAGTTCTACTTCGCTAGTTTCACATCCTTGGAGGTGGACAGCTGGCACACTACTCTGTCTTTCAATTTCAGCGACGACAAGATGGCAGGTCAAGCGGACTACGACAAGGGCGGTCTTGGTCTGGAGGATTTCACCAAGAACGTCCCGCCGGGCTGGAAGCCCAACGTGAGAGGCTACACTTTCAGAAAGTACATGCAGAAGTTACGGTTGTGGTGGAGAATCACCGATGAGATGAGTGAGGAGCGGATCGGCCCGTTGATTGTGAGTAGACTGAAAGGACCGCCGTTCTCACAGGCCATGAGCTACACCATCGTCCGCAATGGAACATCTTATCGTGGCGACGAGGCAATGGCTCTTCCATCCGTGACGGCGAACCCGGCTGCGGGTATCGAAGGTGAACACAGCGGCATCAGGCAGTTTCTGGACAAGCTGAAGACCATCTACGAGCTGCACGATCAGGATCGCATCGGCATTGTCCTCGACGGCTACTTCGACTGCAGACGCGGCAACGGTGACCTCACCACATGGATAGCACAATACGAGATGGCCTTTGATGACGCCTGTGAAGAGGGCGGCCTTCAAATGAATATGGTGGGCAAATCACATTTTCTCCTCAAGAACTCCGACCTGCAGGACAGGAAGATCGACGACATCAAGCTGCATGTCGGAGGCGACCTGTCGCAGTACCAAGCCATTCGCGGCCTCATGATGCGCATGGGCAAACAAGACCAATCACAGCATCACCAAGATTGGGCACTCTATGTCGACCCAGACAATGGCGAACACGACGAATATCACGAGATCTGGTATGAAGCCTACGATCTCAACGACTACGAATGGGGCTGGGCAGAGGATGAAGGATGGAGTGCCACCATCGACGGTGAATGGTACTATATGGTTGATGACGACGCCTGGTTGCAATATGATCATGATGGCGAATGCATCGAGGAGCTTACCATCGAAGATTACGCGACATACTACGGAGGCGGCAAAAGCAGAGGACGAGGCAAAGGACAAGGCGGTGGCAAAGGATTTCGACGTAATAGCAAGGGTAAAGGCAAGAGCAAAGGCAAACGAAAGGGCAAGAAGTTCACTCCAAACTACGGTGGCAAAGGTAATCAAGGTGGGGCATCCAACGGATGCAGCAGATGCGGCAGCAAATGGCATCGCAGCGAGATGTGCCCAACGAAGGATAAGGAACAACAGGCCGCATCACCACCGCAGCATCGTCCTAAAGGACATGGACGTGGCAAGTCTGGCAGTCGTCATTATGCAAATCAAGAAGTATCTGGCTCTGGTGGTTCAACATCGTCATATGGTTACCACAGCATGTCCGCTGCGAGCTGGCATCATCTACCTGACCTTGACGGCGACTCACCAGAGCAATCAGAAGGCGGACTCACAGGCACGACCACATCCATGGCCAGTACGATACCCACGCAACCACGTATTTTGGAAGAATCCGACGACATTACCACCGAGCTGGATCAGCAGCACTACGAGCACCACCATGATCACCAGCGAGTGACGGCATCCTCGAGTAAGTTCCAGGATGAAGGTCAGTACAGTGCAGCATCCAGTCAATCATGGAAGAAAGACTCGAAGATAGAGCCTCCTCATCTTGGTTTCAAAGCACCAGTACCATCAGGCAGAACCACGAGATCTTTCCAGCCTTCAGCTTCAACAAGTGGTCTTACACTGGCCGAACGTTTGGCACAGCAGTACGGTGCGACATCACAGACAGTCTGGCCATCGACACCCGAGGCTTCCTCCACGGCTACAGCAATGGAGACACCTCCAAGACGGCGTACTCTGGCCGAGAAGCTTCAATCTCAATGCACTCTGAACTTGCTCTCATCTAAGGTGGTACGTGCGTATGCTGAACAGGAAGGAACCGTCTACATCACGATTCAGGGCAAACCCTGTCTAGGGATCATCGTGGACCCAGGTGCAAGTGACGGTCTCCTTGGCACAGAGACGCTACGCGAATGGGTTCAGCACATATACGGGCCACGAGGCATGAAATACCAGTGTGGCAAGTCAGAGGCTTCATTTACTGGCATCAGTGGCGAGACAGATCCCTCCTGCGGAGAGTTTGTTGGCAACATTGGTGTCTGTGGCTTACCTCGGAACACTACGTATCGTGGAGACCTCATTGGAGGAAATGGTTCACGTTGCCCAGCATTGCTTCCAAACACCACTCTCTTGGAACAGCGAGCGATCATCTACGAGAACATGTTTCCAAGTGGTGATGGGATTTTGGCCATCATGCCACCAGGTCAGCGCGCTTTCGTCACGAGACTCTATCTTACGGACTCGAAACATCTCTTCCTGCCAATCGACAACTTCAAGGAACAATCGATCAGCGAGCGCACAGACCTCATCAACAGAATCGAACATCGTACAGCAGAGCTGCTACATAACTGTCCCACGACGCGAACACGAAGCTCTGGGCTATCACTGCATGTCGACACCGAGACGAACAACAAGGACATGACGAGTCAGGCGCCAGACACCAGTCCTGCTGCAGCTGAACCTCCTCAGTATCTTGACAAGAAGACCTTGTCTGACACTACCATCAAGACACTCTCCGAGGCCCCTAAGAAGCAGGATCAGTGTAAGGATATGGTTACCGAGCAGAACGCGAAGATCTATCTCAAATCAGATCATCCTTCGCAGAATACACACTCGGCAATGTTGACGACAAAGGCAGTGCACGTGAGCTATCATCGCAGCGACGCCAAGGCTTTCTACGAGCATTGGAAGCAGTTCAAGGTGCCCAGGCACCACAGCGATCTATGGCCAGACAACTTCTCAGCCAGTGAGCAGAAACAGATGGACATGGAATACAAGGCCCTATCAGAGCATTTTTATCATCGCTCTCGTCTACCAATGATTACTCCCAACAATTCAGATGAGTTCATACAACACATGGAGACATTTCAGCAAGCAATGGTACCATTACTTCAGGAGGTATGCTCTGGCACGGGAAGCACATCAGCCGAGGTCTACTCCAACCAGTGTATTGTACTTCCACCGATAGACTACCGATACGGCTCGGACCTACATCGTAAAGATCATCGGGAGGCCTTAAAACGACTGGTGCAAGCTTTTCGACCTCGACATACACTATGCGCTTTCTCATGCAGGCCTTGG